CACACCTAGTCAAATCCTACCTCTTCTTCAATTATGATAATAGCTACTGGTGAGGGCAGCTTACTGTCTCAGGCATTGTATTAAGAACCTGACATGTATTAGCTCAGTTCTGACACCCAACTCAGAGAAGTAGGTGCTGTGTCTTTCTCCCCAAACACAGACCCTGGGGTCTGGAGAGATGAAGCGCTGGCGGCTGGTGAGTGGCAGAGCCGGCGGGACTGTGAACCCAGGCTGTCTTAGGGCAGACTCGGGATTTGGTTGCCACTGCCTCCCTCCTCGCAGGGCGCAGGCCGCCCCTCTATCCTTCAAGCTCCCACGGCCAAGACGGTCATACTCTGTCAGCTCTAGGGGCCTGTCTATGGACTTTCCGCCCAAGAGGGCGGGCACTTTGTCTCCCGCCACGTTGCCCACATCCTGGATCCTCCCTCCCTCCGTCCGTCCTTTTCCTTTCTTTCTCCCTCCCTTGGAGTACTCGGCTCCTAACTCTGTGTCAGGCTTTGTGTTCGTTCACATGTCAGTGTTAACAGTGCAGAAATTAGTGCAGGATGGAATTACATGTCATTGTCCTCTTTCTTCTTTATGCCTTTTTAGTTGGCTGATTTTTTTTCCCCCCAAGTGACCACCCAAGCCAGGTTCCTAGAACCCAGTTCAAACGTTGCTTGGCTAGGTTGGTCCGAAGAAGGCCCTGTCTCCTTAACTCCCAGCCCCCAAGCCTCCTGCAACGGCCCTCAAATCCAGGCCGCCCTGCCCCCTCCGGAAGGGGGAGTTGGGGGCGAACGCCGAAATCTGAGTGGTTCTTTCAAGCCTCCGTTGCCGTAGAAACGGGCTGCATAGGCCTTGGCGGTCCATTACACCATCCTCCAGCGACACAGCCAATGGGCTCCGAGCTCCATCCTGGACTCAGAGCTCCATCCCAGGCACCCCCGCCCCACAGCTGCCCGGCAACCCACCAATGGACAGGTCCCTTAGCTTAGAGCCCGCCCTCGGCCCAGGGACACTACTAATGAACTTCGACTCTGCTTTCCCTCTAGCTTCAAAGTAGCAACGGACTCGATTTTCAAAAAAGAAAAAAAAAAAAAGGAATTCTCCAAATTAGAAGGAATTAACAGGAAGGCCTCTGTCAGTTGTACCTTGAGTAATCTTTGGCTGGTACTTTATTTAAGGAGAACAAATTTCCAAGTACACAATATATATCTTTCTCTACTAAATTTTAGGCAATGAAAATTTAGGCAATGGGGCTGAAATCTCTATGTGAATTTCTTTCATTATGGGTGTTTTCACTTAATTTAAAATGATCAAGGAATTAGTCATCTTTCCTTGTATGTATTTCAAATATAATACATACAAATTAAAGGCGCTGAGTTTTTGCTATGGAGTTGATGAGACACTGACCTAAGTAGCTGACTTCTATTAGACAATTTGACTCCTGAATTCAAAGTATACCAAAACTGTAGGGTAAATTAATATTTCTCTTAATCCATTGAAGAACTTCCATTTTGAAGTCAGGCTGTATAATGGCTTTGATGCTCTAAAGTCTAGATAAACTAACTGTCTCTGTAAAACCTAGTACTATTTTTTTAAATGAACTTTATTTTCTAGAACATTTTTGATTTATAGAAACACTGAAAATGCAAAGTTTTTTCCTCTCATCCACCCTATTTCCTCCACTATTAGTATCTTACATTTATATGGCATGTTTGTACAATCAGGAAACCAAAATTGACATTGTTATTAACTAAAGTTCATAGTTAATTCAGATTTCCTTGGTTTTCATGAAATGGCCTTTTTATCAATCCCAGGATCCCATCCAGACTCCACGCTGCATGCAGGTCCTGTCTCCTTAGGTCGCTCATGGCTGCGGCAATTTCTCAGGCATCAACAAGACTCCTCCCTGTTGGCACTGACTTTGATCGCTGAGCTGAGACAGTGTGTATCAGGTTTCTCCATGGTACAGTCACTTTTCCTTTCTTTTTTTTTTAAGATTTTTATTTATTTATTTTTAGACACAGGGGAAGGGTGGGAGAAAGAGAGGAAGAGAAACATCAATGTATGGTTGTCTCTCACTCACCCCCTACTGGGGACCTAGCCTGCAACACAAGTATGTGCCCTGACTAGGAATCGAACCAGCGCCCCGTGGTTCACAGGCTGGTCTCAATCCACTGAGCCATACCAGCCAGGGCTAAAGTCACTTTTCTTCTATCCCTTTCCACGTTGTCCTCTTGGGAAGGAAGTGACTACGCTTAGCCCACACTTAAGAAGTGGGGGGTTATGCCTCCACCCCCAGGGTGGGGTTTCTACATAAATTATTTGGAATTTTTCTGCATTGAAGATTTGTCTCTTTCCCTGTTTTTTTAAATTCAGTTATTTATATCACTATAGACTTATATTTATTTCATATTTTAGATTAGAATCTAATACTAAATTGTGTTACTCAAATTATTCCAGCGTTGGCCTTTGTGACTCTTTGACTTGGCTCCCGTGTCCCTGTGACATGCCCCCGCCTTTGCCTTTTCGTTTTGTTGCTGTTCTTGAGCACCTCCTCACTTTCTGGCAGACCATGATGCCCAGACTCATCTTACAGATTTCCTGCTCCAGTCCTGGAGTCAGCCATTTCTCAGAGCAACTCAACCCTGACTCCTCCTAGTGGAGAAGGATATTAGAAACCAAGCTTTGGACACTGAGTGTGCTCATTTCTGGGGTGTTCTTCCTTTGAAGCCTTTTCACCTGACAGAACAAAGAAATATATGCGTATATACTAACCTGTATTTATCACCTATCTATAAATACTTCTGTATGTAACCATCTGTATCTACAATGAGCTAAACATGAGTTCCCATTTATATTTCCAACTCTCATCCATTAATGACTACATGAATCATCCCAGCCTCCTTCTCTTCTTACCTATAAATTCGTACTCCAACAGTGAGAAACCCGGCTCCCACCACCCACCACCCGCACTAGATCGTTCAGCTCCAGCACACGTGTATAGCAGCGTCAGCATCGCTCATCCGTACCCCCGTGGGAACCTTCATCAACTGGAGTGTAGCACTTCAGTGCACTTTCTTATGCTTTCGATTTTCAGACTCCACTCACTTCTCAAGTTACTGAAGTCAGCACCCTTTTCCCCATCCCCTTCAATGAGGTTGTTTCATACATTGGTATACAGTTGATTTTTTTGTCACATGCTACATTCTATCTTGAGATTTTCCAGCTGTCCTCAATGATTTTCTACAATTGCATGCATTGAGGTTCTTTGTGTTGTACAGTTCCATCATTTTTGACAAGTGTATAATGCGCTGTATCTACTCCTGCAGGTTCACACAGAAAAGTTTCACTGCTCTCTTTCACCCACTCAGCCCTCTCCCCACCAAACCCCGACAACCACAGATCTTTTATACTATCACTACAGTTTTGCCTTTTGACTCCTTTTTCTTAAAATAGAAGACACAGAGTATTTTTGTTGTTGCTCCTGTTATAGCTACCACTCATTGAACCTTTCCCATGTCCCGTGTCCTGAACCATTAGGCTCTTCCAATGTTGCAGATGATGAAACTGAGGCAAATGAGATAAAAATAACTCCCTAAAGATTCAACATCGAACAAAATTTGACTTAATATCCTGGGTCTGTGACTGATTAAAGCCCCAGTATTTCCATGTTTGACTTCAGAGAATTATGGGAATCCATTATAATTTGGATGAGGATGACTTGGGACTTCCCAGTTCACTGAGGCAGTCTGTTTATTTCTGTTTTTCCAGCGTAATCGTTAATAGTGTCCCCTTTTTTATGGTAAATTATATAGTCACCCCAAAGAGAAAAGCCTACTGAATTGAGTCAGCTGAGATAAGGAGCTGAAATCATACCCCATTGGCCCATCTGATGTAGAAATGGGCCAATGGGGTGTGGTTTCAGAATCACCAGCGGGACCGCTATCCAGATAAAATCCCCTCTGCATCTAGTCACCCTCCCCTTCCTTCTCCCAATCTGATTATTCCCCATTGCCACCAACTGTGCTGCTGCTGCTAAAAAGACTGTGTTCTCTTCTCTCTGTGACCAGGCCCCCAGTTCTCCTCGCCGCCTTGTGCTTCTCTGAGATTCAAACTCCATCTCATGGGTTGGCAATCCAGGGTTTTTAAGACGTTGGGATTTCACAGAGAAGTTAAAAAAAGTAATCTCCCCCCCAAAAGAACATATTTTCAAGTTTGGGAATGGGCAAAAAGATTACCGACTTTTTTTTCATTTTGCCAGGTAAAGACCAGAAAAACCTCCATCTTGTATATTCACACTATTAGAAATATTGGCTATAAAGCAAACTGGAAAAAAATATAATAAAAAAATTTTTAAAGAACTATAAAGCAAGCCTTAAGTGAAATTTTAAATTTTCCAAAGCCACATTTAAAAAAGCAAAAAAGAAAGAAAATAGTTAAGTTAGTTTTAACATATTTTATTTAACCCAATATGTCCAAATAGTATAATCTCAACATGTAACCAATAGAAAGAACATTAATGTGATATTTTATATTTTTATGCTGTCTTTGAAAGTTGTGAGAGTTTTGTACAATACCTTTCAATTGGCATTAGCCATATTTAAGTGCTCATGGGCCACACGCACAGTTCTCTACTGTTAGGCAGTAAAAGAAAGAGCCCTGAAGTACACACACGTGATCGTAAGCATGCGTACACAATTATAATCTCTGTATTTTTTAAGAAGACATTTAGATAAATGAAAAAATGACTTGCAAACCCTGGCTGGCGTAGCTCAGTGGATTGAGCACGGCCCTGCGAACCAGAGTATCGCGCGGTTCGATTCCCAGTCAGGGCACATGCCTGGGTTGCAGGCCATTTCCCAGCAGGGGACGCATGAGAGGCAACCATACATTGATATTTCTCTCCTACTCTTTCTCCTTCCCTTCCCCTCTCTCAAAAAATAAATAAATAAAATATTTTTAAAAACTGCAAAATTTATAATAAAAAAAATTAAAAAACAAAAATGACTTGCCTTAGCTAGGTGGCTCAGCTGATTGTCCTGAGCACAGAAGATCAGGAGTTCGATTCCTGGTTAGGGCACATACCTAGGATGCAGGTTCAATCCCTGGTTGGGGTGCAGATGGGAGGCGACGGATACATGTGTCTCTTTCTCTCTCCCTAAAATGAATAGAAACATATCTTCAGGTGAGGACTTTTTTAAAAAGTGACTTACCTTGCTCTTAACCTTCTCACTGTTCATTATGAATGTTTTTAAGGACCATGCCCGTTTGCAGACTGATGTTTTGGAGCTAGACAGTTGGAGTGGGTGGAGTTGCTTGACGGTGCCTGGCACAGCCACGCCCATCTGAGTGGTTCCTTCCTCCCTTCGTGGAACAGACATTCAGTCTACCTTGTGCCAAACTCGGCTGGGTGTTGGGGATACGGTGGTGAGAGTGGGAATCAGGAGGGTCCTCCAACTGCATGGAGCTTCTGCTCCGCCATGATGTACCAAGTGGGGCTGTGTCTGCAGAGAATTTAAGACAGCAATAAAACTGACTGAGAGGCAATCTGCATTTTATTATCACCATGTGCTCATAATTCTAGACTATGTCACTGATAACATTCCACTCCCTAAAGATCAAGTTGAGTCTAACTTGAGTCTAAATAATGTATTTGTAAGGTTCAAATCAGCATATTTCAATTCCTTACATACTAATAAACGTTATGGTCTACAAGGAAGTCAATTCAGAGCCCTCCCAGTTACATACTCAGCCCCTACCACACGCCAAGCCAGACCCAGCCACACACATTTGTTTGACAGTAAGTCCCTAACAGTCTGGAATTGTTCGAGCTTGTTTCCTGAGCACTTGCGTCTCCAGCCCCGTTGGCACAACATATGTCTGTGTTTAAACAATAGATGCAAAATAAACAATGATAGCACAGTGATGACGCAGCTGAAGAACTAGAACTTGAGTTGCTTCAATTCTCTCATTTCATGGGACCACTTAAAGCTTTTGCCCTGAAAACGTACACCAGTAAAACAAAGAGCAAACTGTAAAGTGTGATAACTACAAATTTCATTATTCAGTAAAATTGTATTATTAAAATTGTTTTACAGATTATGTTTAAAGTGCTTTGTTTTAAAACTGTAATGTAATTAATGTAACATAATTGTGGCAATGGATTGCTATAGGGGTATGTTTACTTTCAAAGAAATACATTAATGTAGTTGAAAATCATTGATTCAATACTTTTCCTTTTTTTGTATTGTACTGTTTATTTTCAGTGACAGTTACAAAGTTCAATAAAAGAATATTCTCACTGTACTTCTTTTCTCACCATTATCACTAGCATTTCTTGTGTTTCATGACTGTTATTGAAAATAATGTCATTTAGGAACAAATAGGAAGGACACAGGGACGAGAACTAAGGGGGGTGGAAATGGGAGGGAGGTGGGGAGCAAGGGGCGGGGGAGGCTGGGATGGGAAAAATAGACAAAAAACTGTACTTGAAAAATAACTAAATAAAGTTTAAAAAAAGAAATAAAAAAAAGAAAATAATGTCATTTAGAGGAGGGCAGTATTTAAAAATTGATCTGTTCCAAGTGACAAGTGAGCCAGGTAAGCTGCAGGTGCACAGAAGAAAAGAAACATGGAGTTAGAGGGGCTCTAAGGAGGGAGACAGGTGAAACTGCTAGAAAGGGCAGGAGAAGGGGTGTCACAACACCCTGTGTGGGGACTCAGCAGGCCTGATTGACTGGAAGCTGGCTCAAAACAGCGAAAGTCGAAGAGGAGGTTAGATAAGCGAGCAAGGGTCAGGCCAAGCTTAACCTGGTGAGCCAGGTGTCTGCTGTTTATCTTGAGAGTAATGGCGAAACCACTGGAGAGTGCTAAGAAGGGAAGAGGCACAACCATCTGTGACTGGAAGATCCCATCACTCTGTCTTCAGGGAGGAGAGAGGAATAGAAGGGGACCTGGCAGCTGTAGGGGCCAGAAAGGAGGCTGGGGAGGTGCCCGGATGAGAGATGATGGTGGCCTGGATTGGTGGGGTAGTGGCGGTCGGCAGCTCTCCAAGAACCTCACTGCCTACCTACTGCAGTCTGGACTGAACCGCTCAACAGTGAGCCGAGACTTGAACTTGAGCACCTGTAAGGTCTAGACCCTGGAGCCCCCATTTGAAAGGAACTTAGGGTAGGCAGTCTCTGTGTACTGGTAACTACCACATCTCAGTGCAGACTGGAGTTTGCAGTATTGTTCTCCAAAATTTTAGTTCCTCCTTTGGGCTTCCCTAGGAATTTGAGTGCACTCATCATAGAGCACTGACTTGGACTCATTCAATAAATACTTATTGACCACCTACTGTATGCAAGGCAATCTCCTAGGGATAAAGCAGTAAACAAACATCTCTGCCTCTTGAAGTTGACCTTCTAGTGTAGATGAGATGTTGAAAAACAAGTGAACAAATAAAATAACTGCAGATGTGGTAGGCACTATGAAGAAGATAGGGAAGGTGATGGAAGAGAATAATGCAACCAAAATAAAGACACCCGATACCAAACTCAGGACAGGATGTGGGTGCACAGGGTCTCTTGTATTTGTTGGTGGAAAAGTAAATTAGTACAACTTGGAAGTTTGGCATTACCTTGTAAAAGTTAGCAATCACATGTCCTCAGATGCACAATCATGCCTTCCATGAGATACTTGGGAGACCTTCCTGTTCTGAGCACCAGGGACACATCTTGGGCAACAGTAACGTTTTTCGTAAGAGCAAAATCCTGGCGATAATCCCAATGTCCACGGACAGGAGAACTGAGGGGAAAGACAAGTATGTATACCACAGTAGAAAATGAACAGTACTGCCCCACAGAGGGGCAAGAATTCAGATGAATTTTAGCACTATAATGTTGAGTAAGAAAGTAAAATACCAGAATATTGCATACAGCATCATACTTTGATAAAGCTAAAGAGAACATATTTTTTAAAGAAAATATTTGAAAAAGAAGAGAGGAGAAATTGGAATCCTCAGACACTGCTAGTAGGAATGTAAAAGGGTACAGCAAATCCACGGAGACAGGAAGACTAATGGTTGCCTAGAGCTGAGGTTAGAACAAAGGGGAGTACAGTTCCTTTTAGGAATGATGAAAATATTCTAAAAGGGGTGGCGGTGATGGCTGCACAACTCTTAATATACCATTGATTTGTACACTTCAAATGAGTGAATAGCATGGTATGCAAATTCTATCTCAAGAAAGCTGTTTTTTTTTTTTTTTTATTGCAAGGGAAGGTTCAGGATAGACATTACATCAGGTGTAGGAAGGCAGGGGATGGGACCCGAAAGTTCGCAGGGAAGGTAGGTTATCAATTTTCCAGTTCTCGTGTTATATTGCTGATTTCACTAGTTTTTCTTATTTATAAATGAATACATACAAACATTGAGTAAGCCCCTCACAGACAATGATGAAAACGTGTCACAGACAAGTAATTCTGTGCACCTGAGATGTATTTGTATAGCGAAGGGTCAGCAACAGCAGAGAGTGGTCAGGGCAGCCTTTCTGGACAGTCCCCTCTGAGCAGAGGCTAGAATGAGACGGGCCAGGCATGTGGGGGTGGGGGTGAAGAGTTTTCCAGGCAGAGGAGACAGCGTGTACAAAGGCCACGAGACGGGCCCAAGTTTTCTGTCTTTGCAGAACATCCAGGAGGCCAACATGTAAACAACCACAACAATAATAGCAGCAGCAGTTACAGGGCCAGAGTAAGACCTTTAAGAGGCCCTAAGCATTTAAAAGATGGCGGTGTCCATGTGGTTTAAAGTAAAACAAATATTAAATAGAAAAAGTGAAGAGTGTTAGAAAAAATTTTAAAGCCTTTCATTTTCCCCATGATTACTCGTTGATACCTTTACTAGACGTAGGGGATGTGTTTACATCCACTGTCCCATTTAATGTGTGAAACAATCATATGAGAAACTGACTTTTCTCCATTTTAAGATGAGCAAAAGAGAACCGGGATATGAATACAGTAATTCTGACCCCACTGAGCACTGAGACGACGAGGCTGCCGTGATAAATGTTCAAACTCAGGGATAGCATCTAGTGAGACAGGGAAGGAAGCATTTGGTAGGGAGCAGGACCTTCCCTTTCTGAGTGTCCTGTGCCTTTAAGAGTCATCCCCCCCCTCCCGCCCGCGATGCTCCAATTTCCCTCTAGGGCACCCGGAGCATCACCCCGCCCCCACCTCGCTACTGCGGAACCTCACCTCATCCCATCCCCCACTCCCTACACCCTCCTGCTAGGCTCTCAGCCTCCACCCGCCGAGTGGAGGTAAGGTATACCGCCAGAGATAAGTCCACCTCCGCCAGTGCCCACCCACTACTCCCAGCTGAAAGCCATTTTAAAGCCCCCAATTCCGACCCCTTCCAGCAACTGACTTCGAGGGACTAGGCCTCAGCACCCCTTCTCATTGCCGAGGTCCTGGTCTCAGTGAAGGTGACTTCTCCCGGGGTTAGCACATAACCCGCAGTGCCCATGCAGGTTCACACGTGGTGAGCAGGGAGCGCGCAGCCCCTCCCCGCCAAGAGCCTTGAGCGTGCGTCGCCGACACGCCCCTTGACCAGGCTCCGCCCCCGTGCCCGGGCACGCCCATCTCACCCCGAACGGGCGTTGCGCCCTAGTCCCGCAGCAGACCCGTTGCAGTAGGTGATGGGACCTGATTATGGGGCATCTACACATTCTCGAATCTCGCGCTAGGACTGTGAAAAGCTGGACGTCCGTTCTGCTCAGGACTTCGTTGTTAGGCGACTTGTCCCGACCCATTTTGCGCTGAGCAGAAAGGACAGCCTAGGATTCAAGCCCTAGTCCACACGTCCTCGGTGTTTTGTACTTTGGATGTGAGCGTAATATTCTCTTCTTTCTCGGAAAATTCTACTGGTGCCTCAAACGAAATACTAAATGAAAGGGCTCATTGGATCCAAAAGCATTGTCGAGCGAGCCCCTCCCTGTGTGGCTGGACCCTGTCTATAGGCAAGAACTACATCTATGGCAAAATGAGTCGGTCCCCTCAAACAGCTTCCCTGAGCCTTGGGTCCCCCAAATTCTTTTCTGGGACGATCCAAAAAGACGCCCCAAAAGAGGAGCGGACAGGTCTTACCTGACGGCAGGTGTCACCGAGTAACCTAAAATTTCAAAGGCAATGCGGGGCGGGGACAAGCTTTTGGAACCAGAAGGAGGCAATATTGGTGCCCGCCCCCCCTCCACTCCCTAACCTAAGAAAAGAAACGGATCTCATCCGACACCCCCAATCCCAGACGCGAAACCGCGCAGCCCCGCCCCGTCCCGGCAGCCAGCGATTGGGAGATGCAAATACCGGGTTCTCTGCCCAGCAACGGGTGACGCGCCACTCGAGCGCGAGGCGTGGCCCGGCCGCAGCCCAAGCGGGCACCTCGGTGTTTACTCGGGGCGGCCCCGCGCGCGCCGCAGCGGCCCGCAGACGGCGAGGGGGAGGGGTGGTGCGCGCGCCAGCGGGGCCGCGCGGGGAGAAAGACACTGGAAGGCAACCGGGCGGGGAGAGGTGCGCGCGGTCCGCGGCTGAGCAGGAGGCTGCTAGGAGAGCCCGCGGGGGTCCGGGGGTGCGATTCCTCCGCCCCCGCAAAACAATGTGTAGCGTGCAGCGGGGCGCAACTTGCGGGAGGCGGCGGGGACGAGCCGAGCCCGCCTGAGACCGAGCCGCTGACCTCCCCCAGCCGTCCGTTGGGCCCGAGCGCCCAGCTCCTCGCTCCCAAGCTCTCGGGGGCCGGGCCGAGCTACGGGGCGGGGCCGCCCCTCCGTCGCTGCTGCCTCCTCCCCCACCCCCAGCCGCGGAGGATGCGGACGGCCCCCGGCGGCGTCTAGCGGCCCCGGGCCCTGGCGCGATGGTGCAGCAGCGGGGCACGCGGGCCAAGCGGGACGGCGGGCCGCCGCCCCCGGGGCCGGGACCGGCCGAAGAGGGGGCGCGTGAGCCAGGCTGGTGCAAGACCCCGAGCGGCCACATTAAGAGACCGATGAACGCGTTCATGGTGTGGTCACAGCACGAGCGGCGAAAGATCATGGACCAGTGGCCCGACATGCACAACGCCGAGATCTCCAAGCGCCTGGGCCGCCGCTGGCAGCTGCTGCAGGACTCGGAGAAGATCCCGTTCGTGCGGGAGGCGGAGCGGCTGCGCCTCAAGCACATGGCGGATTACCCGGACTACAAGTACCGGCCGCGCAAAAAGAGCAAGGGGGCGCCAGCCAAGGCGCGGCCCCGCCCCCCCGGCGGTGGCGGCGGTGGTGGCAGCCGGCTCAAGCCGGGGTCCCAGCTGCCTAGCCGCGGGGGCCGCCGAGCGGCAGGAGGGCCTTTGGGGGGCAGCGCGGCGGCGCCCGAGGACGACGATGAGGAAGACGACGAGGAGCTGCTAGAAGTGCGCCTGGTCGAGACCCCTGGGCGGGAGCTGTGGAAGATGGTCCCGGCAGGGCGGGCTGCCCGGGGACCAGCGGAGCGCGCTCAGGGGCCGTCGGGCGAGGGAGCGGCTGTCACTACTGCCTCCCCGACTCCGTCGGAGGACGAGGAGCCTGAGGAAGAGGAGGAGGAGGCGGCAGCGGTGGAAGAAGGCGAAGAGGAGACGGTGGCGTCGGGAGAGGAGCCGCTGGGCTTTCTGTCCAGACTGCCCCCGGGCCCAGCCGGCCTGGACTGCAGCGCCCTAGACCGCGACCCTGACTTGCAGCCTCCGTCAGGCACGTCGCACTTCGAGTTCCCGGACTATTGCACCCCCGAGGTTACCGAGATGATCGCGGGGGACTGGCGCCCGTCTAGCATCGCCGACCTGGTTTTCACCTACTGAGCCCACCGTCAGCGGGGCGCGCAAGCCCCCAAACCAGCTGTTTACATACAGGAATCAGGTATTGGGGCCCCTCGGAGGCCGAGGCTGGCACCCCATCTCCCACGCAGCCTCCCCCCTCCTAGACGTGCCCATCCCCCCTCGAATCCAGACATGCCCCTCCCCCGCAGACACACCCCAAGGCACCCCAACCCCCACCCTTTCCCTGACATCCAAGCTCCTCCCCGTCCTGCCTCCTTCTGCACAGCCACCAGCAGCCAGCCCCCCTCCGGTACACCTCCCGTCCTTTCCTACAGACCTGTGCCCTTCCCCCACTATGCACTTGCCCCTCCTCGAGGCCGGAGGACACGCCCCTGCCCTTGCTCTGGAATCCCTCCGCGTTTGCCTAGCCCTCCTCCTCTCTCGTTTAAGGGGGCGCTGGGGCCCAGAGGCCCCGCGCGCTCTTCCCAGGCCCCTCCCCTCCCAAACGGGGGGGAGGGGCGCGCTTCTTTTACTTTGGGAGCGCAGGGACCCGCCTTCTTTTTGCGCATGCTTAATGCTCCTTGGGAGGAGGGGGCTGGTCCCTCTGGCCCGCACTGGGCAGAAGTGTAGTGGGTACAGAGCTATCCTGAGAAATATTTTGATCCGGGAGCTGCGGCTTCCTTTCAACCCGACGGGGCGTCACTGCCTTAATGGGAGGAGCACTCAGAAGGGGGAGAAAGGGACTAACTAGCCGGTCTGGAAGGGTTGGTTTGGAACTTGAAAATGTCCCAAGTGGCGTAAACCTCCTTTCACTTAATGGGGTCGCCCAGACCCACCGGCAACCCCCCACACACAACAACTACCTGAATGCCTCTGCGGCCTATCTTGGTCCCCAGAAACCTCTCTTTCATTCCTCAACCTGGGAATTGGGGGTAGGACCTTTCTCTGGAAATTCAGCATGAGAGGAAGGGATGACCAAGAAAACTTAGAACCAAGACATGTAACAGTATGGGGGACAGGGTTCTGCCGCGTTCCCCCCCTGCCCTGGAAGTGCCCTGTCACTTCAAGGCACACTCCCGAGCCTGGGCTCCTGAAGCCCACAGCCTTGTCCTATCACTCAAGCCTCTGTGCCCCCCAGTGATAGTATTCAGCGGGAGAAACGAGGCACGTTGTTACTAGGGGCTTGAGACTAAAGCATGGTAGCAGTTGGAGTGTCAAGAAGAGCCTCATTTTTAAGAGCCTTGTTTTTAAGCAGCTGACTTGAGACCATCGATTGGACCAGTGAGACCGAAAGGCTGTCAGAGCAGTGGAGGTGTGCCCTGCGCCTATTTTTCCACGTGAAAAATAGGGATAGCGATGCTTAGGAGGAAGCTGTGTCCAGTTCGGGGTGCCTTAGGGACCCTGCCCCTGATGTTACCCTTCTAACTCCAATTCCCCGTTCAGGCCCCGCCCCTCCGGCCTCCCCCACCCCCACCTCTCTTGCCCACACTACCTGTATCTCACCGGCGTGTGTTCACCCCTCGGGTATGCACACACTCTCATTCACACACACAAATCTCAGGAACAAACGGTCCCAGAGTCCTCCGGGACCCCTGCCCAGGGTCTCCGCTGGCCTCTGCCCCACGCGTTCCCATCGCTGACAAAGCCACCAGCTGCCTCCTTTACGCTTGGTGCTCCGGCTCTGGGCCTTTCTTGCGCTCTTTTTCTCTCTCTCTCTTTTTTAAGTAAAACAACGACAAAAAGACAATGAAAAAAACCCAGAAAACGTCATGTGAGTGAAGAGATGTCATTGTCTGTGGTCTTGGAGAACTAGTCTAGTAGCTGAGGGAGGGATCCCTCCCATCCGGGGCACTGGCACCCACAGCAGGACTTCCGCCAGTCTGATGCCAGGACTGAATAAAGTGTATTTGCCCCTACCTCGCCCTGTGGTTCTACATGTCTGTGCCTTCCCTCAACCCTTCCCAAACAGTTTGCCAGGTTCAAGTCTTTTGATTTAGCACTGTACAGGAAGAGCTGGGAATTCCAGGACAAGGCACCTGGCTCCCCCAGGCCTCTGCCTCCCTCTATCTCAGGACTCCCTGGTCTTCGTTGATGGTGCCAAACTCCTTCCTGCAGGGGCCAGGCAGGTGGCCCAAATTAATGAGAGTCTGGGTGGACACCAGCTTCATGACCCACTTCAAGGTGGGGGCAACTGCCCACCTCCTGCCAGTTGTGACCCTGTGAGATTGCCACCCACAGTGGCCAGGTGGCTAGAGTTTTCAAGAGAAAGTAGAATCTGGGTATTTCTGAACATCTCAATTCCAAAGTGAAAGCTGACTTTTAAATCTTTGTGGACCAAATGAAATGTATAAGCATACCTGGTCTTGGGGCAGAGCAGGGGGTGGTTTGACCCTTAATGAGAAGTGAAAAGCAGGGTTGGGCCACATTGTCTGGGCTCCAAGCCTAGCTCCGTCCACCATTACCTGCATGACCTTGAGCAAGTTCACTTCCCCCTAACTGCCCTATGTAACATGGGAACTGTACCTGCTGCTCAGGGGGAAATGAAGTTTGAAGTGAGAAGCATTTAACATGGTGCTCCATGAACTGTATTACTCCCCAGTCGAGAGGAGGAAACAGGGTCAGAGTGATGGCGCAACTTGCAGGAGGACCTGCAAGCAGCCAAGGTCAGAGACGGCTCCAGATCTTGGACCAGTCTCTGTATTCCTTAAGGGCACTGTCTCTCCC